TATATAATATTTATTTATATTTATAAATTTATTTATTTATATTTATTTATATATATATATGTATTTACACAGTATATCACCCATTACACTCAAAGGTTGGACATGAAGGAAGGACTACTCCATACCTGTCATAGTCTTGGCAGATTTCCCCTACAGCAACTAATGCTTTCAGGTATTCGTTGGGCTGGTAGGGATTAATATAATGTAGAGAGCAGCTATTTCGAGGGTCCCCGTTGGAGGCTGTAAAGTCTATGGCAACCTGGAAGAAAGAAGGAAGGCAGTAAGATTATACACCACACAGGAAATGAGACATTTCCCTGCCATAGTCCATGACTGTTCCCATCCACCCAGGAATTCTGTTCCTGCCGCCAATAGGGTGCTCTCACTTTTTCTGTTATAGTTGTCATATGAAATTAAAGTGTAACAGGACTTGTCGGCACATCTCCTGAATTCCAGTGAAATCTGTGAGGTTGCTTTTCTCTCCTTCAGTTACCAAAAAATTGAAAAGTATCCTTTTTTTAGTGGGCTGTCTCTTTAACGTACATTGCTATAGCCTACTGATCATGCGTAATACCATAACCAGGTTAGTGACTCAAAGTAATAAAACCGCATATATGGAAAAGGTCTGCTGCCTTATAAATAAAGAGCTTCATGTCATATTGTTCTATGTGATGGTTTCTTCTAGTTTGATCTGAATAACGAGTATCTGTGTCTGGACATTTGTGTGCTGTGTGTTCACTGTGGATTGTTAAATTGTATGTGTAAACTTTTTTTTTCTAGTAATGCATAAACTAGGGAACAATTAAGACTCCTGTCAGGCTTTTTCTTATTCCTAATGTGTAGATAAGCCTTCACGTCCTGTACCAGAGACACAGCAGGAAGTAAGGGTATATCTCTCCAAAACGAGTGGCTATTCCCTCTTATAGGGGCGTCACCAGATAAGGTTTACCTATTGGAAGATTTTCCGTAACGTACTGTGATAAATATATATATTTTTTTAAAAGCATTGGATATGCATGGAAAATGTGAAAAGACGTACACCTCAGAGGAAAAGACCTCCTATCACCCCCTAAATACCACAATCGAGGTTTAAGTGGATGATCATGAATCTAAACATATGGAATACAACATCATAGGCAACTCAAAAGAGACAAGGTATTAATTGGTTGTGTTGTTAAACCTCGGGTGAAAAGAACAATGCTTATGGGGGTGATGTATTGCTTGCGATTCTAGAAGAGTAATGCTTGTAGACTCAAAGTGTTTCGCGCCATGAATTGTGGTATTTAGGGGGTGATAGGAGGTCTTTTCCTCTGAGGTGTACGTCTTTTCACATTTTCCATGCATATCCAATGCTTTTTAAAAAAATATATATATATTTGTCCAATAAATTTATACTTTTTATATACTTTCAAAACTGAAGGTTATTGGACTTGTTCTTTCTGGAGCCAGCAAAAAAACCCCATCTTTTTCTGTCCTTTTCTTATTACAACATCAGAAATAGGGGTACTATTATGTTGCACCTTTCGCCAGGGCGGATTTCCCACAAGGCCAATCAATGCCCCTCTACTCCCGGCCTTAGGGCGGGTAGTTGTTTTCTTCATTTAGCCCGGCTTTGGGCAAGCACAGCTAAATGTACAGCGGGGAAGTCGCTGCTTGTTTTGTACAAGTGATCTCACCGATCACTTGTATGCAGCCTGCAGGTCTGCCGTTCTCCATGGAGGAGGGGGGGAAGGGGGGTTGGTGGGTAGGGGGGCGCATTGAGGAACCTGGGCTTGGGGCAGCAGGGAGAGTAAATCTGGCCCTACCTTTGGCACTACAAAGTATCAGAGGGCTCTTACACCATGGAGCAATATCATAGTAAATTTTGTTCCTCCTAGGAACTCATGATATCGCCTATTCCATAAATACCCAGTATTCTTCTGTGCAGACGTCAAGCCAGAAGGGACCCACAGTCGCTTTTAATCCAAATATAGAATGATTTATTTTCACAAGGTATTATTACAAATGTGGCGCACAGTAGCATTAGCTTACTCAAGCTGCACTTACTCTACACAAGATGACATTAAAATTCAAATTACGGGCTTGTGCATGTCCTCCTGCAACTTGCGTTGAATGCATTGCTTTAGCTATCCTGCTTTCTGCTGCCTCTTATTTCAGTGAACACTGTTGTGTATTGTTGGTGCCCTGTGCCAAGCCTTGTTCTGGATATCAGATACGTGGTACAAATAAGACAACAGAGCAGTGTCATATTCCAGGGCAATGATAATCAGAAGACTGAGAGGGCTGCTCTGGGACACCATTCAGGATTTTTCTGTGCTTAGCAGGCAGTGACTAAATCACTAATATGGCTATGTATAATCAAGGCTTCTAATAGCAGGGGCTGTACAGCCATGAAGCCTGCACTTTTAAAGCTGTGATGGCGTCCATGCGTGTTGGATGCACATGTTGTTCAAGTGTTTTGGAGGTGATCCCATTTATTCATAACTGACCCCCAAACCTGCATGCACCTGAGTTTTTGATACACCACAACACACAGGTGCATTGAAGTGCAATGGAAATAACGTGTCAGGTATGTTTTGTGTTGGGTGGAACCATAGAAAATGAATGGGCACAGGTATCACAATGTAAGTTGATGCATCGAACAATACACACAATAATGCATGCATACAGGTGTAAATGTGCCTTTAAAATACATCATGGCATGTGTCATGTTTATATCCTCATGGGAAAACCAAGTCACCAGTACTCGCAATTGCGTCTCACAAATTTATTGTGAAGAACACTGTCAAAGACATATATACTGACATTTCGGGCCCCTTCAGGGTCCCTTTCTCAAGGCAATATAACGTCACTTCATTTTGCCTTGAGGGGTCTTAAAACTTTGGTATATATGTCTGTGACGCTGTTCTTCACAATAACTTTGTAAGTCACAATTGCATGTCTAAAGTGCTGTAGACTTCATATGCGTTGATCTGGTTTTGATGTGGCACCGTCTGATGCTATCACTTCGAGCACCCACCTATTATTTGAAGGCCTAGTACTGTCAGAAGTGCAGCTTCATACATAGACAAATTTTATCCTCAAAGCTTCACTGTTAAGTCAACCTGTGCTCCATTTTTAGGTTTTCAAGTAAAAGGGCCACCTAAGAGCAAGCCCAGGAAGAAGCTTGTTGTTACCAAGGAAAGCCTCTTTTGTGCTCCTCTATGGTTTACTGGGACTGACTTTTACAGCAAAGCCCAGTCAACCACCATTCCAGTGTCCAATGAGACTGCCTCATTGGCTGGTAAAGGTACTCTCATTAGACAGAGTGATGGCAATCAGTGGAGCATATTGAGTATTCAAACCAGGGAGAGTCAGGTCCCAGTAAGAAAATACAATTAAATCAGAGAGGGACACATACAATAGAGGGCATAATGCTCTTAAAACGTAGGATGTTGAACCTTTTCTCCTCACATTGGTGTTGACGGCCAACTGAAAAGGGATGTGGCTACTGGTGCATAAGGAAGAACTTGTATTAGCTACTTACTGTAAAGTGAATTTGACAGCCTCCCATGATGTAATCCAGGAAGGAGTAAACTCTGTGAATCTGTGTTTTAGAAAAGTAAAATACAAGGTTGGTATGAAAATCAAAGAAGGATTGTAGGTCAAGTACCTAGCTCGGAAATATATATTTATAAATACATGAGATCAACCTGATGTAAATAATGTTAGTAGTGTGTGATGGGTGGATAAACATGGGTAGCTCTGGGCCTGAAGGCAAATAGCCATTACAAGTCACAGCAAAGAATATGATACTACAATCTCAAGAGACAACAACCAACATCAGAAAGCGCAATACATGGTCATTTGTCCATCAAAGTCAAGAGTGTGCTTGGCCATATGGTGTAGATGACCATAGAGTTTATCTCTCATACATGGTAAATCAGCAAATACATATGCAGTGTGCTAAGGAACATGATCAAGGAGCTACCAATGAGTGTTAAAATGATGTTAGATTCAATGTATGGTTTAATACCTTCAGGATGAACCTGCATTCATCATCCATTGAAAAAAGTACCAATCCACTATCCTTAGGGCAGTTACACCATGCACTGCATGTTTGGTTGACTTTGACATTAACACACCTACGGACACCTGTGCCGTGACTGCAGATGTTATTTGGCTTAGAACAGTAGTTTTTATTCTGGCCACTGAATGTACATTTGGAATTCCATACATGGAACCACTAGGACGACATAACCTTTTAACAATACCAACAATTTACCCAAAGGCAGGGGCTGTCCAAACCTCAGGAAGAAATAGATAATATAGACGATAGTGACATCTGTATAGACTTATCATCCAGTTCTCCGACTACCACATTACTTAAAAATGATAAAAAGGTCCCTTTGCTGCAGGAAGCTGCTGTTAAAGGATGCCATAGTAGCCAGTCAAGTGATGCCTAGGCATTAGGCTTCTTCATTTTCGCTGCAGAAGGGCATGAGCCAGCTTGTACTCAGATCATTCCTTTCAGCAGGGATCACATGAAAAAATTCCTAGGCATTTGGTCACATGACTGGATGCCATGAGATTCCAGAGCAGCAGGTTCATCAGTGAAGGTAAGAATTTCAGGGTTACTGATATCATTGTATCAACTCAGAAAGTATGTGGTCAGGGTTGGAGGTCGATTGTATTCAATTATAGTTTCCCTTTAAAAACTACTCAGGACTAGTATGTTATTCAAAAGGCAGAGAGTGGAAGCCTTCATATGAGGCTTCTCCCACAGGCATTTTTACTACCATGCAAACTGGGACCCTAATAGAATATCATTTGAACCCTCAAAAGGAGTGAGGCTTTGTTGGCCTTCTGTCCAGCTATGAGTGAAAAACATCCTAAATAGTAGTGAACACGTGAAAGTAAGGTCAGGAATGTTACTTACCTTCATGTCAGACAATATAACTAAACCAGAGTTCTTGTAATTCCGCTTCTTTATTTTGTATTTGGGGTTCATACAGTCCCATTGTATCTGCAAAGAGACATGATAACAAAAGTGACATCAGCAGGACAGAAGTAACCTGTGTTCTTACAGAAATTTCGTCATTGCTGAGCCTGATGAAGGGGACCCAGTGCCGCCCGGGTTATACCAGGACAGATGCCACCACTAATTTCCATTTCAAAGGCTACATGCCTGTTTTCGTCGCTCCCCCACTCCTTGTGAATTCAATCTTTTTTTCCTCACCTTGTTCCCACCGATTGCCTTCTGCATCTCTTCAAAGGTTGCGTAAAACTCTCCAATAAAATCATGTTTTCCGCGGGAGTCATAATCCCAGACTAGGCACTGGAGGGAGAGAGAGAGGGGGAGGTTTGGAAGTGAGATAAGAGACAAAACGGAGGATTACAAGGATGGGGAGAGAGGGAGACTCAAGAGAAAGAAACTGATCACAGAGAAACAAGTGGCCTCATTAAAAGGGCACGTCTGCTTAAAACTGGGGTTTCAACATTTGCTAGATGCCGGTGTTCTATCAAAGATTGTGACTGGGTTGGAATGTGTGACTGATCACGTGGCCACACATTCTAACGTAGTCACACCCATTTTTTCCGGGGTTAAAATATGTGACCGGCAAAAGGTGTAGAATTCAATGCTTTCTCAGCTGTTCCAGGGCAGATCGACATCACAGATGGTATGTGCAGGAGAACTGATATGCCCTGGAACAGCTGATCAGCCCGGAAATCTCACTTCTATCCGACTTTTTGACTGCGATCTGACATTTCACATGTCGATCTGGAACAGCTGGGAAAGCACTGATTTGTACATCTTTTGCCGGTCACATATTTTAACACCTGTCACACATTCTAGCGCAATCACAAACTTTGATAGAACACTGGTCTTTTCAGTCACTAACCGGTTGAGACCTGCTCCAGGTTAAATTTAAATGACTCCGTCGCTTAAAATTGCTCACAGACGGGTCTACTGCAAAAAGATGGTATATACTCAACTCTCCCACTGGTCCGGCCACCAAATGCCATTGTAATGAGAGTGAGAAATTGTGTCCTGAAGGCTTTTCAAAATCTGACACTTCCGGGAGTGTCAGATTACAGGTCCCCTGGTGGTTCTTCCTGCCAGTACCTCAATCACTTTTTTGTCTTGTACTGACGTATAGCAGCGGGAAGAACCACAGAACTCAGAGGGGGACCAGTACCTCAAACACTATTATGTCTTGAAGTAAAAAGCAGTGAAGCGCCACAAACTGTCACTTCTCAATGACAATTCCTCTTAGGCATACTGCAAGATGCTGCCCCAAAGAAAGCCGGGAAAGCTGTAGATCTATGAAGTAAACACAAGGGGGCGCCTTTCCTGGTGCAGGTGCCGCGTCATCCCGCCCTCACATGGTTCCCTAGACTGATACCAGACATGGCCGCATTTACATATGATGACGAGCCTTTAGGACACGTCTCTTATTGGTCATTTGCACTTTAAAGGCGGAAAAGAGTAAGGTGACGTTACGTTCTGACGAAGGGGGCGTGCCCCGGAAACGCGTTAACGTCACCAGCATACAGGAATCGTCCAGTGGATGCACACTGCCTGTCAGCTTATATTTCTTCTCATGTTTGTGAGTAGGTTTTTGTTTTTATCTCATGCTTACTGAAATAAAATTGACTTGCACCAGGAAAGGCACCCCCTTGTGTTTACTTCACTATTATGTCTTGTACTGACATAGATACCAGTGGGAAGAACCACAGAACTCAGAGGGGGATCAGGAAATTGACACTCCTGGAAGAACAGTCTTTGGGTGGCAATGTCCATCCAGTCTTTGGAGATGCAGACAGCAGGAGAGTTGAGTATTTATTATTGCAGGGGTAGGCAACCTCGACACTAGCTGTGGTGAAACTACAACTTACATCATGTCTCTGCCTCTGGGAGTCATGCCAGTGACTACCAAAGTGTTGCAATGCCTCATGGAACTTGAGGTGGTTTCGCAACAGCTTGAGTGCCAAGTTTACCTTCTTTGCATCTTCTTTGAAGATTATGTTATTGACAGAGTCACAATTTTACTTTCTGTGACTTGGCTAACACTGATCTCCCCTCCCAGCAGTTACTTGGCAGTCTTTTAGGCCTTCTAATCTCTAATGTAAACACAAGGCAGATCATCTGCTAGGGGGGAGCAGAGTGCAGAGGCATGCCATGAAAGATTTCACTGTTTCTCTTGTGAAATTTGAGAATGCATTGCTCCTCAGTGCCTGCCGCTTCAGAGGTCACAGAGGGCTTGTTTTAAAGCTCATTTACTGCTCGTTAAGACTATCTAAAAATCAGAATGTCTTCAGCCTGACCCCGGGTTTACTCTAAGGCAGAGTTACAGAAGTTTGCTCCCCTTATCCCAAGGGTACTCTAAGATGAGGTGTTACATCCCATCATAATCCAAAGACAGTGCCAGAGGTCCTGCATTGTAAGTGAGGATGTTTAGGGCCCACCTACAACTTGGAGTATTGGAAAGAGGGGAAAAGTGCCTTCTGGTGGGGAACCAAGGGATAAAGCAAAGATATATGCTTTTCCTGTTCCCTAAATTGTGCACTAAATTGTCTAAATTGTGCACCAATTTGCTTTAGTTTCTTGGCTCTAGAGGAGGTGAAAGTGTGCACAGTATTCTACCTTCACTATGATTAATTGGGTAGCCTGATCATATGTTAAAATTACATTGACATTTGGCATCACCAGTATCCCTGTTGCACAGGACACACCTGCTAATATCTAATAAATAACACGAACGCCTTCAGTTCCTATCAGCAGGGGATCTGTGCATGGATTCCCTGCAGGTCACATGGATGTTACCACTTTGACAGCCATGTCCATCCAGTTTTTTCCTCCATCTTACGATGGAGGAAAAAAATGAAATTACCAGACCCAGGGTGGTGCAAGGGGAGCCAGATGTAAACAGACGTGTCCATTTACATCAAATTGCCCCCGATCTGGCACGATCAGGTCCAGCAAAATGGAACTCTGATCTGTTTGTTTTGCTGACTTGGCCGGTGCCAGGGGTAACTGGGTGCACGTCCATTTAGATTTGGTTGCCCATAGACTAGCATTGGGCTTAAGATCAGATCCGCATGCAGAACTCACAGAAGGACCTAATTGGAATGCCGGTGTGAAAAGGGCCTGAGGCTGCTTAGTAGAAACTGTAATCCACTCTTGCTCATGTAACAATCCTGTAGAGGTGTAGAGACCCCAAAAATGTAAGTTGTAAATATACATATTTGTGTTGTAGGAAAATGTTTGGCTTTTCAGCCAAAAGAAAAGGCCTCTTGGTGTTTTGTCTTACCCTGAGTTTCCTCTTCTCCTCGCAGCAGCACAGAGAACTCAGAGACACTTTAAATGGCTCCCATACTGGGTTCAAATTATTTTTAATGACCTGGACAAAAATAAATACATAATATTTCACATGTACAAAACTTATATAGTAGTCACAGTTTAGCAGAAAGAAGGAAGCATTAAATATCCAGAAGGGAAGACAGGAAAGAGAATTGGGCAGGGGAAGGGAGGAAAGAGAAATAGGCAGGGGAAGGGCAAAAAGAGCAATTGGGAGGGGAAGAGAGGTAAGAAGGCAGGAAAGACAATGAGGCAGAGGAAAGGAAGAAAGAGAAATAGCTTGCATGCCTCTCATACATTCCTCATGCTGCTCTCAGGCTCATCCCCATTATCTCACTCACCTCCGTTCTATACACAAGCTGCTCACTCTGGTCATCATTAACTCTGTAGATTTCCAGAAAAGGATCTGATTTGCTAAATAAATCCTAAGGTAGAAAGAGGAAGGGTTATTCTTATAATACAATGCACCTATTTTTTTAATTCAAGAACATGGCAATAAAAGAAGCGAATAATGACCTCACCGTTTAGGGTTAAAGGAATATATACTATATATATGTATAGGAGGAATGCTTATGGTCTCGAGGCTGGATTTACCAGTAAGGCTTTGCAGGCCTGCGTCTAAGGGCCACACCACCACTTGAGACGTGGCTTTTTTGTTTGCAAAGCCAAATATTAAAAATCTCCTTCCACTTGAAATAAAAAAATGATCAATTGTCTCATAAAATCTTGCTTAAGTCATATCAGGGAGATTTCAATTTTTTATTGGTTATGATGGGTGCTTTGGAACACTGGCTCATTAAATGTGCTCAATATACGTCTATCCATAGAGATTTTAACCTAATACTAAGTAAACCTAAGTAAAAACTGTATGTCTGTCTCCAAAAAGAAGCTTGTACCCTGTGCCTGTCACCTTGTCATCCAGTTTCCGTGCGCAGAATGACAGCTCCACATATCCGTTATTTCCCGAAATCTCTTCAGAAATGACCTGTAGCAAGATATAAAAGAACTTTCTATGAACCGGCTTCATTCATAAATACATTGTAGCAGGGTCGTAACTAGAATCCCAGGGCCCCATAGCAAAATGTTGTAAGGCCCCACC